ACTCCTTAACGACCGCATTTTTACTGCGTTTATTCTACTCTCGTGCTTCTTCTGCCACACACAACTTTCACACAGCGTTGTGAATACCATACGTACCTTTTTTGACACATGCTGACTTTCACAATAGAGTGTAGGGCCCCATTTACTCTATTTCCAGCGTTCACTCTATCGTCGTTCTATATCCTTATTATCATATCTCCCATCCTTGCTAAATACGCATCCCAAATATACAAATTCATCTACTTGCTCTATCAACTCCCCTTCTATTCTTATTTCACATATTGTTTTATAATCATTAAAAATAGGCAGTATACTAGTTTATAGTACAAAATACGTCGGACCGCGTTGTTGCGAAACGCAGCGAGTCAGCACGACACATAAGTTGTCGCCATAACGATGTCGGTGCAAGAGTTTTGTAATAGCTGAAAATTAATTTACTGCTTATCTATTATATATAATTTAAGAAAAATTGGTCAGACTGCAGATTAATGAAACAGAGGTAGTCAGGAGTCACTCAAAGTAAGGATATCTGCCATAGTGACTATATCGTCAGCAAACGAAGGTGAGTGACGTACTCCCTATTGTTAATACAATAGAATACTATAATACATACATAATAGAACGGGGGAGTCGGCGGAGCCCGCGTAGCCAAATGTCAGTAACACGTCAATTAACATGTACAAATGTCAACACGAGATGTGTTTTGACGTTACAATCGTTTCCAAATTTCGCATGCAAATTTTTTAGAAAATGCCAAATTGCACACTATTTAGAAATAAATATGTTTTAAAATTTAAACGATTTTTTTAAATGATGATCTTGAACATTAAAAGTCTAAAGTGTGTAAATTTATTCAGTATGTAAAGATAGCGAATCGGGTTTGGCGGCACCAAACCTCGTACAAAATAAAGTTGACAGCCATTCTATTATGTACTATAGTAGTACCTAGATGACGAGCTCTGCTTGGTTTTTTTTTTAAATCGTGTGTTTTAAAAATTATATTTAGATATAAATTACATACTGATGAAATATGAATAGGTAATATTTTTTGATCTTACCGACATAATAGAAAAAACTGAACTGGTTATTTGAATAAAAACCATGAGTGCAATTAGTTTAATTTAAATTTTCGTATTTTTAAAAAAATACTAAAAAGGGCTCGAAATAATAGATTTCTCACAAAAGTGAACTTAAAAAAAAAAAGAAAAAAAGTCGGACCGATGACAGGACGCGAACCAGGGCACTACGATTTCACGACGGCCCGATATCCACTTGGGCTATTACGATCATTAATACATTGTCAAAATTTACCTTCTTATATTGTAGCAGTTTTTCATTGCCTAAAAACACGGGCAAAACGACATTTTCTATATATCGTTTGCCTTAGCATCGGGCACTGTCAGCACGGTGACCCGCACTTACCTAGACTGCTGGCGCTCTTGTTCACCCTATCTATGAGGCACTCTTATTTGCTGGAGAAGCTGATAAGAACGGTCGTGGTTCAGATTTTGAAAAACAAAACCAGAGATGTTTCGGATATGTGCAACTATCGGACCATTTCATTAGCGACAACTACGGCTAAGATACTTGACAGTGTGCTTGGGAGACAGTTAAAAGTTACTATTATAGTACTAAGTTAAACAATGCACAATTTGGTTTTAGACCAAATCTATCTATCCACATACGCGGCCTTCCTGGATGTTTTAAAAGCTTTCGAACTGCCAAGTTGACAGTCGGTATGTCAAAGTGCTGAACACGATTGCTATCCGAGAGCAGAACCATAGTACAAAACCTATCCTACTGCAGAGGCATAAGACAGAGTAACGTCATATCCCCGAAACTCTTCACCGCTGCATATATATGTTTCCTAGCTAGATCGATTTACTTACCCCGAAACCCTCTGGACACTAAATTTTATGAAGATCGTTGGAGCCGTTTCCGAGATTCCGATTATATATATACAAGAATTGCTCGTTTAAAGGTATAGGATTCTAAGGTTAATACCCACAGAATTCTAAATAATAAGGCACTTTTTATTTCTGTGTTAATACCGTATACTTTCTAGTCCAGTAGCTTGAAAACGTTTGCCGAAGGGTGTCTATGATGCTAAAGCTTTTTAGGAAACCGGCTTGTTCGGGAGGCTGGAAGTCATAGAGTCTGCGTGCGAGACGATTCGTAATGACTCTCGAAAACTATACGTAGACGCGGCTTAGAAGAGAAATCACTTTGTAGATCTTCAAGAGAGCATCGTCGCATTTCTCGAAAATACAAAACCACCGCACTTCTGCTCCATGTCTCCGCAGTAGTCCCACCATGGAGGACAGGATAAAAAAGCTTCTGAAGGACTTCAAATACCGGTTTTCCACTCGCTTTCAGAAGCTTGGCTATAATTTCATCCTCGCCTGGGACCTACCCGTTTTTAAGGTACTGGAGAGCCATTCTAATCATATCATCGCAATAATGTCGTATAGGACTTGCTCTTGGATTATTACTTACACTTGCATGTGGCTCCACCGATGACGTGTACATATGAGCAGCCTCACAGAACCTCTCAATGTTACAAAACATCTAAAGTGTCCCGGCCACACAATGCTGCCGCACTCGGTCTTAAGCTTCGATAGTTGGCTCTTTCTGGCAGTCAGATCTCTAGCAAAGTTGTTTGTGCAATGACTAAAATCGCACCAACAAAGCCACTATCTATTGCACATCTCGAGCTTTGTGGATCGGTTTTACTTTTCTAAATTTGTTGGCAGAGCCTTCAACCATTATTCCCTTAGCCTCACAATATCAGTCCTATGCCTTTGTATCTTCAAAGCCCTATAATGGATAGTTTGCCACAAAAGTGGCAGACATTTGTTGGAAACCGCGTTGTTCAGATCACCGACAATATTCCCGTTGACAACTTTTATCATTGCGCGAGCACTGAGAATTCCACCGACATACTTTCACGTAGCTACATGGGCCTCATTAGATCCATCTCAGTGGTCTATTTATGTTGTAGACAATCAGGTTATTGCAGACATGCCTGAGTGCACATCTGTTTGTAGTTGTGTAATTTATGAGCTCGCATCTCTTTATGGAGTAAACTTTACGCATAATTGCGTACGTGTGTAAGTTTGCTAAATTCACCGCTGCATTGGAAGACGTTTTCAAGCTACTGGACTAGAAAGGATACGGTATTAACACAGAAATCTAAATAATAAGTGCCTTATTATTTAGATTTCTGTGGGTATTAACATCAATAGCGAGTAAATCACTCACCTTCGATTTGCCGACGTTATAGTCACTATAGCAGATATCCACGCTTTGAGTGACTGCTCCGTTCCATTAATCTGTGGTCTGACTATATTTTTCTTAAATTATATCACAGTAAATGAATTTTCAGCTATTACTAAATTCTTGCACCGACACGACATCATATCGTTACGGCGACAACTTATGTGACGTACTGACTCGCCGCCTTTCACAACGATGCGGTCTGACCACTTTCTAGCGTTTTTTCGTAATATAAACTAGTTTACTGCCTATTTTCAACGATTACAAAACACTTGTAGAGCATGTTATATTTTTACATACATCAAAGCGCGCCACTACAGGTGTCTCACTACATGACCTTGCGAGTGGGTGCTGACTCTGTACACTATCAATAATAAATCGTATTGAATTTACATTATTTTTATTTGTGCCATTACAAAACTCTTGCCGATTTTTGTCGGCACCTCTCCTGCTATTAGCATACAATTCTTATTTTGGCAAACACGTGCCTTATAATAAAAATATTTGTCATTTAAACATAAATTAAGTTAAATCAGTTATTTATTTTATTTAGACAGTTATACACATTGAGTTATACAACACTAGAGGAGCAAGCCACATTACCGCGCGTCGAAAAAAGTGTAACCACTATCCAAACGCGACGACGTAGCTTTGAAACTAATAACAATTTTAAATAAACATATATCTATCTCACTTACACAAGTTGCGAAAACAATATCGTCGCTAAGATTAGATAAAGATAGACACACAAACGTGCAATGGCGGGTTGGTGTGGCTTACTATATGAAATTTTACCTAAAATACGCAATAAAAATGAGTTTTTTTTAAGTTGCAGTTAATTGTTTTTATATTAAAAAAGTATATTTTATTTTATAATCTTTGTTGCGTCCCCTTAGAAAAAAAAAGGATACAAAGCTTATCAGATAAATAGAAGTAAACATAATGATGAAATAAAACATATTTTTATAAGTATTTTTATTGTACTAATAAATCAAACAATATAAAAGAGGTAATAAAATGTAATTAATATAAAATTTATATGAAATTATAACTAATATATAATTATTAATATAAAATAAGTAGGTCATAAAATATATTTAATAGATAATTCATAAATAAACTAAAATAAGAATAATTAATTACTTTGTATGAAAGTTAAAACGTGGTTTTTATTATAATTTCCAAAATATTTGAAATCAGAGGTAACAAATTAACTTACTCCATTAATTATATAGTCTCCCATTAATGTAGGATAATCACAAATGCGGAAAAGTGGCAACATTGAACCTAAATGGCAATATTCGATAATTTTATTTAATTATTTGAGGTTTTTTACGTTTATATGAAAACAAGAACTAAAAATTATGTGTTGAAAGTGATTCCGCTTGTTTTGTTACGTTTGTGTGACCTTGAACAGCATTCTTTCACTACGCATTTACCCATTTTTTGTCGCGGCTCAACTCTGTCGGCGTCACATTGAACACTGAACTGACGTTAGCTAGGCATATGGCTGTGGCCATATGTGCAGTGGCAACGCTTTGGCGCGGTTATTACTGATCTAGTGTAATATATAAATCAATGGTTATACAAGTATACAACTTTCAAGTTGTTACGGGAATATCTAAGGTTAATAGCCTAATACTAATATAAGTTACAATTTTTAATAATTTAGTTTCTAGTTGAAAAACATGAATTAATTAACACATGTACAAAATTGAAATGAGTTATTTAGTAGGGGAAATTGAAAGCAACGAGGCTCGTTTTTCTTGAAACTTGTTATAGTAATGCATTTTAACTTCTACGGATGAATTTGTACACATTTTTTCATGAATTTTTTCAATATTTTTTTCCAAATCTTCACTATAAAGCAAATCGAGAAGCGTCAATGCGACTAAATACCCTTGTACAAAATCTTCATTTTGAATTAAACAAGTACAAATTTCGTAGTGAAAATTTTCCGAAAATATATTTTTGAAAACTTCCAAAGATCTAATGAAAAGAATATATATACAAGGAAAGAAGCATTTAGTGTCATCTCTTAAGCACTCGTAGCAGATTTTTCCAAACTCAGGGGCAATTTTAGAACAGGTTTCTTCCCAAATTACTGGTTGATTCCTATCAAGCAATATTACCAATTCCGTTATCAACTTCCATGTCCTCAATAAAACGTAGTTTTCAGAAATTGGTAAAGATCGTTCCATTTCTATTTGCATATTCTTGAACATTTTAACAGGTACAATCATATTTTTTGCAATGGCAAAATTGCTTAAGTCGTGTATTAAATCAGTAATAAGGCGTTCAAAATTGGTCTTTATGTAGTTTTTTCCATTATCTGTATTGTTCCATAATTCAAAAGAACGGCGTAGAATTGGAGCTAAGGTAAGTTCGTATTTTTCGCTTTGAGTTTCTTCGTCCTTTGCGCACAGCAGGTATGATGATATGATGCCACTCATGTCGTGTATATCGTCTTTTTTGAAAAATACATTCTCTGTAAATTCTGATATAATATCAGTGACAAATTGCAATGACAATGTTTCCATAATTTCCTTCGTATACTTTGCAAGTTTAATAATATCATATTCATAGCTAACGTAGTCGCGCTTATTATTTGTCGTTAAAGTTTTTAGAAATTTGTAAGATTTCATTAAAAACATGGGCTTCACACTTTCAGGAATATTATCAATATTACATAATAACTTGTATATTTCTTTATTTTCACTAAATGTTAGATTATCTATAAACATATCCAATAACAACCAAGTATCTTTAATTTTTCCATCGTCTTTTTCGTGACACAGCAAGTTGAAAGTAATCTTGAAAATTTCCGTACGTATTGTAGAATTTTTAGTCTTTTTCCACAGGACACTAAAAGTTTCTTTAAGCATATCAGGAGGTAACTTAGTAAAGACAAGACGAATTCCATGTTTTTGCAATGACACAGGGGCATCCAGTATCTTTGGTATAGATTCTTGTTTTTGAATGGAAGTTAAATTGTAATATATGGCAAGTAGAGATGGAAGAGCATACTGTAGATAATCCCCCTTTGCGTACAATAATATTTTATCAAATGAAGGCTGTGGGCATGCAATATGCATGTTCTTAGCAAAACACCTTTGCAGGCTTAACTCAAGTTCTCGAATTCTATTCCAATCTATTTTAGGATCTTTTGGAGCATATTTTTCTAAAATGCCATTAAGTTGGGATCTTGGTAGTAATATACACAAACCTCTGGTTATTGCTTTATGTCCTTCAGCCTGCTTTAGTTTATTTAAATACATAATTTGCCAGTCATTATTTAAAGATTTAGGCCAATAAATTCGGACCTTTCTAAGCAAACGTTTAAGAGAAATTGCGTCGTTTAATAACATCGCCTCAACCTCATGTTTATGTACAACTAACAAATTCGGGCCATGTTTCAGATAATTAATACAAGCTTCCTCCGTAGGATTCAAAAGTATGGATTCATCAAACATATGCTTTCTCCAAGATTTATGTAAATTATACAATGTTAACATACTTAATGTCCATGATTTTTCTTGTTTAATTTTTATTAAATGTCTAATCTTGTCAAGTACTAATGGATAATCAAGAATGTTTTTTCCCCAATCCTTAAGTAACGTTAATGTTTCCTTTAGTAAATTTACGCACTGTTCAAATTCGCTGACACTAGTTATTTTAATGTTCTGTAATTTATTCCAAATTAATGTATGTAAATAATTAAAGATCATATCTTTTTCCTGTGAATTTAGCTTTCCTTGGTAAGTTTTTAAAGAATTAAATTGAAATTTCTGTACTATTTCATCTGGTATGATCTCATTATGCAGAATTTTGTATATTAATACAGCTTCTATTATTGTACTATACGATTGTGAATCCTGGTATATGTCCATGGTATTTATAATGTCCTCCAAAATCTTCCAACTTTCCTTATCTAAAGTGTGAGTGTTTAATTTTAATATAAAATTTATTAAAAATCGTTTTTTTATTTCAAGTGAAGAGTTAATGTGCTTGTCGTGAAAGTATTGTAGTACACACTTTGCATATTCCAAGTCACCTTTAGTAGAAGCTATTAAAGTTTCAAACATTAAATTTTTATCGTTAGCATCAGTTTCAGGACCAATCATACTTCTGATACCATTCAAAGCAACTTCAAATGTTGCGAACTGATACCAGTAATAAACAGGAGTAAAAGTTTGCAAATTCCGCAATATATTTATTGATTTATCTAAATCACTTGATGAATTACTATTACTCTGGATTTCATCTATAAAAACATGTTTAATAAAATCAAATCTCTCTTCTTTAGGGATTGCGGTTAAAAATAAATTGCAATTTTTAACGTTTCTAAAGTAATAACTTAAATCGTTTCGTTCATTTTCTATATTCAATAGTACTTTTAGGAAAAACTTTTTTAAGTCCTCTTTCTTTAAATATTTAATAAAGGTAGGCGTATCAATACGAAGGCAGTAATCTCCAAATTTATTAAGTATTCTATCAGGACATTTTGTCATCAAAATCTTAGTGGCTCTTTTACCAAATTTTGGATAATTATATTTCGGTTGCGATTCTAAGATATCTAAGTATTTATTGAAGTCAACGTGCAACAAGAATAAAGTTTTTTGAAACGCTTTCCCAACATCGCGTCCCTTTTTTGAGTAAATCTCTAGGAACGTTATTGACTTTTCACAAAGACGTTTTAATAATGATATTTCCATTTTATCCACGTGTTTGTCAAAGTTATTTTCAATAAATTTTACGGAACAGTGGGGTAACCATTTCAATGCTTCTGAAGGGTTTTCTTCGAAGTTATAAAATTGCTCTGCACGTGATTCGTTGTTTAACTTTGACCGTATTACTTCCTTAAATTTAATAATTGCTTTTGTGTGCATTCCAGGATAAATATTAGAATTAAGATACTCTGGATTGATTATATGACTGTATTGATCATCATTTACTAACCAATCACATTTCTTTAATGCCCGAGACACATGTAACATGTCGTCACATGTTAAAACTTTAACAATGTAGTCAATATTTCTGGTTGCGTTAGCAACGTCAATGTTAATTAAATTGTTTATATCAGAATCATCCGAGTTTAATTCATTGATTTCGATAATTTTGTTATTTGCAATTGCCTCTTTTAGCAATTTATTGAAGTGTTTATGTTTTTCTCCAAGATTGCTGCCTTCGAGCTCCACCGATGACATTGTGCTGTTCTCTGAAACAATGTAAACTCTTAATATTCTGTGCACTGTAATGCAAGAGCGTTTGTATGTTATGTACGCGGCAGACAGAGTTAGACTACGCTACGCTTTATTAACTTTCTAAATCAAAAGTTTTAATCAAAATAATGTAATAAAATATATTTCTTAAATTTTAAAAGTTGTACATTCAATTTTAAGTTGAATATTTCTAAGTTTTGAATCTTTGGTATATAATAAACACTAAATATTATGTGCATTTAGCGGATCAAAAAGAGGACACGAATCTAAATTGCGCGCTAATTTTATTATGCATGCGTCTCGACCGGCAGATTGGCAAGATGCCTAAGTGTTCTCCGTAAAACTATGAAAATAATATTAGAGTTTGAAAATTGAAATTGAATTTATAGAATTGTCATTGATTCTAAATACGTCTGCAAAGTTTCAATTATTCAGACGTCTGGTGAAAACTTAATCATAAAATTCCACCTAACATATCAAATACAGGTCAAGCTCTCAAAATAGAAATCATATTATAGACTACATATACATACAGAAATGCATAGAAATATTTAAACTTTAAATGTGAAAAAATTCCCAGAACTCGCCTACTGTTATAAAATGTTTATTATCAACAGCGTCTTGTTTTTGGTTTTTAATTTGTATTGGCTAAATATCGAAAAACTGCTATTAATAACTTCCGTGTCCGCGCAAAAGATAATAGTAAAACAATCGAAATAATAATAATATATGACTCACGGGACAGTGAAATAATAATATGACTCACGGGACAGTGAAATAATAATAATATATGACTAACGGGACAGTGAAACAATAATAATATATGACTCACGGGTCAGTGAAATAATAATAATATATGACTCACGGGACATTGAAATAAGGCGATACCGCGAAACAATGCACCTCCTTTCATGGAATAGTATAGGACTGTAACACCACTAACGAAAGTGGAAATTTGATATAGGTAAATTCATGTCTTTATCTTGAATTTGATTGTTCAAAACACGATTGTATTATTTTGACTCGATCATAATTATTTGCGAAAATACCTCTAAAAATCACTATAGTTGAAATTACAATGAAATTACTTAATCTATATGCTTGGGAATCACTCAAATATATTCATAACATCAATATTCATAATTTACTTGCTCATTATTTTGATTACTTAAATCAATAATTTTTTTAAATATTTTAAGATTCTTACAATTTCTAAGCGGTTTTATTCGTCGCGGGCGCTACGCAATTTTAGAGCTTATGACGGCGTTTTTTCGAGTTTTATAGAAATTATGTATTCACTCGGATCAGTACGGCGATAGCCTGGAGCCACTTTTTCGATGTGTCATCTTAAGGCCGAATACGACGCGAATGACCTTGCTAGTTTCGCAGCAAACCACGCGCCGCCAGTACCTACGCTTTGTTTATATAGACATACGGCCGTACGGTATAAAGCCGTACGGGCTTTGATTATATTTGACTGAACTAGCTCAGATGCAGAGTAATGAACAACACAGAGAGCATTTCTTACTTCTTAAATAAATTTTTCTTATTTATAATATTAGTTCCAATAGATTATAAATTCTGTACTTTATTCGTTATAAAATATTGTTCGAAAAGTTCTTGAATTGGTAACGATTTTTTTTTCTTAATTGGTGCATCGTACGTAAAGAATCTCATATAGCTGAAAATGTTTGTTCTTGTGAGTCTTACAAGATGCCGTAATGCAAATTGCATAAATAATAAAGAAAAAAAAACTAAAAAGTCGGTGATTGCTCCATAGTGGGGATAGGTACTGTGTATGTAAATTCTCACAAGACTACTCCGACTGGTCAATCACTCCACATCCGAAGTATTTCGGTTTTTCTTAATTATGTACTTTTACCCCATGCTTTCGGACAATACATTGACTGACATTATTTGCGGTCTCTGTGCTTGCACTACTCTGTACATTCTTTTCCGACTGGGTCTTGATATTTTACATTTTTAGTGTTTCTCACTTGAAACTAGAAAAGTATAAATGATCAGTTTGGCTAATGTAAATGAGTAAAAATGCAACCTATTAGGCAGCCTCAAACAAAAATTACCTTACTAAATATAAGTATTAACCTCAAAATAAAACATTCGAGCAGCGTTCATGCGATAAACTCTCTTTGTTTTACCACTTAGGCCCGCCGCTGATTGCAATTTTTTGTCACCGTGATTTATTATTACTGTCACCTGCTATCACCCACGATGCGCTCACTGAATCTGTTCTTGGGTAACAAATCGCGTTCATTTTTGTAATGGACTTCAACGAGGTTGCCGTGATTTGTGCTCTTGAAATACGTAGAAGAAAAATGAAACGGAAAAAACGCTACTGGGTGCATCCTATATACACGGAAAGATTATTTAAAGGAAAATCCTACACTATATATTCTGAATTACGTCAGTATCCACCAAAGTTTTTTAATTATCTTCGTATTTACATAAACTCTTTTGATTAGTTGCTGGCTTTGCAAAGCTATTCCAGCAGAAGAAAGGTTAACGGTAACTTTGAGGTAAGTAACAAAAACTACATCAACTACTTAATTAAACAAAAAATCTTTATTAATCAGAGGCATAAAAAATTGCAATATCACAATCATCTACAGAGTAATTTGCCACATATATTAATACTATTTAACAAATACTTTAAATAGCATACGTCTACTCCGAACGCGCGGCGCCGGCCGAGTGACAAAAAGTCACCAGTGAGCGGACTCCCATAGTAATGCACAGGGCGAGTGACAGTCACGTCACTCCGGTGTTGCCTGCCGCTGCAACTATTTGTCACCGTATTATCACGTCACCATAATGAGCGCACTCAATATAATTTTCATTGACTTCATTGACACTTGACTAAGTGACAAAAAGTCACGTCGACAAAAAATTGCAATCAGCGGCGGGCCTTAGGTAACATTTATTTTTTTTTCCTACCCATATTTACATTTATAGACACTTAAACACGTATAAAACAATAAATTAACGATTTTCGCTACAGACACATCGACTGTTGTTACCTTACGTCACACGTCGAAGCGCCTGGTAATTTATTACGGCAAACTTTTATCTGGCAATATACGATATTATTATTAGGTGTTTTTAATTAAAACGAATTATGTTATATTTTGTATCGAAAATAAAGATAGCAGGTACCTTCGGAATTACAATACAAACATCTTTACGTAAAAGATTTTTTCCTAAATTAAAATTCACAGTTTTGGAAGAACAATAATTTTATATATCATTTCTTAACATTCTTTTATTTGTTGGTATATTCATTTATTTTAAAATTTTAAAATGACGGTGACATTGTGAAGGACCCGAACAAACCTACAAAAATGTTTTAAAGCTTAGAATTACTTCAGGTCAAAGTTCTAGTCAAGAGAAATACATTAATTTTCGCCAGTTCTCTTCGTATTCGGCCTTAAAACTACTTACGTAAGTAGTTGCATTTGGCGATACTCAGCCAATTTCAACAGAGAGGAAATTATCAACTCAAATGTATTTTTAATCCTATATAACACGATATCCTAGAGCTAAATCTACCGATTTATTTTATTTGTATAATCACTAATATATTTTAGATGCAACACAAAGTTTTACAGTGGTCTATATAAATTTTAATGAAATATGTCAACTTATGCCCGTTATTTTTTATATAATTACTGTCGATCGAATGTGCTTAACACCTAACGTACTGGCGACCACTGAAACCTAGTTTTAGCTATGAACTAATCGTATACCACTGGCCTCTATATATAAAAGCAAAGTAAAGTTACAGCCTATATACGTCCCACTGCTGGGCTCAGGCCTCCGCTCATTTCTGAGAGGGTTTTAGTTTGTCCGCCGCGCTGCCCCAATGCGTGTTGGCGAACTTCACATGTCTTCGAAATATTTTTTTTCTTATTTCTCTAACATGCAGGTTTCCTTACGATGTTTTCCCTCACCGCCGAGCACGTGGTAAATCAGCACTTAAAATTGCAATTAACAATTTCATTGGTGCCGGCGGGGATCGAACCCGGGTTGCTCGCGTACTGAGCGCTAACCATCTGAGCTACCACGACTCTGACCTCTATATATACACACTTGTATATATAGAGGTCAGTGTCGTATACTCATAAGTATAACCAAGTAATGTGTAGAATTTCATCGTAATAGATAACATTAGTCTATACTCAAAACAAAAGCCAATCTAGTTATTATTTACACTTGCATTAGCAGTTACATATTTTATTTAATAAAAATTATTCTAAGTAATGCCACATTTAATGAAATGAACACTCAATTTGGTTTTGTTCGCTCTCTTTTGACGGATGTTTTTAACCTCCGATGAAAAATAGGAAAAATAGTTTGACCTCTATGTGTGTCAGTTTGTGTCCGTGTGACTGTCTGTGGCACCGTAGCACTTAAACGGGTGAACCGATTTGGGTGCAGTTTTTTTTTTATTTAAAATCAGGTTTTCTAGCGGTGGTTTTTAGACATGTTTTATCAAAATCGGTTCCGCTATTTGAAGGTCATCAACTTTATCTGTTTCGGGGGTTTATATAATTTTCAATTTAAGTTATAATATTTATCTATTGGTGAATTTTGTAACAAAAAAGCCATCCGGTCCAAAAGATCTATGTCATTATGCCAGTAGTTGCAAAAAAAAAACACTTTTTTTTCACAGTCCACCTGATGATAAGTGGATGTTGTGGCCCATCGCCACCTACATTTATCCTCGATTAAGAATCAAAATGAAGAAGAGTTGTCAC